CTTTAGCATTTTTTGTTTTTTGGTTTTGTACCAGGGATTGAACCTAGGGGCACTTAACCACTGAGCAACATCCCCAGCCCTTCTTATGTTTTATTTAGAGACAGGGTCTCACTAAGTTGCTTAGGGCCTTACTCAGGCTGTCTTTGAACTCAACGATCTTCCTGCCTCAACCTCCCAAACTCCTGGGATTACAGATGTGTGCCACCATGCCCAGGTCTAGCATTATTTTTTTGAAAAGGCTTTCCTTGTCTTTTAGCACTCTTAAATAAATTGATCATATATGTATGGATTTATTTCTTGTTACTCTATTTTGCTCCTTTGGTCTAAATGTCTATTCTATGTCAATATCACACTCTCTTTATCAGTGTTGCTTGAAAGTAAGTCTTAAAATCAGGAACTATAAATCCTCCAATTTTGCTCATTTCTTTCAAAAAGCATGTTGACTATTCTTGCTCTTTTACATTTTCAAGTTGCTTGTCAATTGCTGTTAATGATTAATTACTTGTCTATTTCTACAAAAGTGCTAGAATTAGATTGAGATTGCTCTCTATCAGTTTGGAAAGAACTAACATCTAAACATAATTAAGTCTTATAATCCATGAACAAAGTATCTCTCTCCATTTAATTAAGCCTTTTAAATTTTCTCTCAGTAATATATTGTTTCAGTGTACACATCTCACACATATTTTATTAAATTTACTCCTGTTTCTTGGGTTTGATGCTGTTGTAAAAAGGTGTTTTTGTTTAGTTTTCCAATTGTTCATAGCTATCGTATAAAATTCAGTTGATTTTTTTGTATTGAACTCATATCCTACAACCTGGCTAAATATGCACATTAGTTCTAATAGAATTTTTGTATATTCCTGAGAAATTTAGACATACACAAATATTTTGTCTGTGAATAATAAAAGTTTTATTTCTTTCCTGTAAAGTTTATGTGCCATTTGATTCTTTTTTGCTTATTGCTGTAGCTCAGACCTTCAGAACAATTTGAATTAAAGTGGAAGGCTGCTCATCCTTCCCTTTCTCTTGATCTTAAGGGTAAACAGTTCAATTTTCTACAACAAAGCTCAATGCTTGCTGTGGATCTTTTGTATATGCCTCTTTTCAGAATAAAAATTACCCTTCTATTCCTAGTTTGTTGAATGCTTGAGGTTCTTTTTTTTTTTTTTTTTTTTTTGAATGCTTGAGTTTTGAAATTATTCTATTACTAGATGGATTACATTGACTGATTTTCAAATGTAAACTAGACTTGCATTCCTGGAATATGATGCACTATCATTTTACATATTACTGGATTCAATTTATTAGTATTTTATTAAAGATTTTTATTTCTGTGCTCATGATAAATATGAGTCTGTAGTTTTCTTTGCTTCTACTGTTTTATTTGGTCTTAGTATTGGGACTATTGCTGGCCAAGTAAAATGAATTGAGAAGTAGTCTCCTCTCCTCATTTTGACAAAGAATTTGTACAGATTGGCATTATTTCTTCATTAAATGTTTGGCAAAAATCACCAATAAAGCCAGCTGCGTTCAAGGGGTTTTAGCTTTGTTTTAGGCAAAAAGATATTTAGTTATAAATTAAACTTATTTGGGGCTGGGATTGTGGTTCAGTGGTAGAGCGCTCGCCTCGCACACGTAAGGTTCAAAAACAGATTTATTCAGAAGAAAGAATCAAAGAATTTGAAGGTAGGACTACTTTCATTTGTCAAATCTGAAAAGCAGAGAGAAAAAAGAATGAAGTGGACAGACCCTAAGAGATATATGGGACACCGTCAAGTGGATTAACATATACATCGCGGGACTCTCAAATAAGAGATCTAGAAAGGGGAAGAGATACTACTTAAAGAAGTTCAATGAACTCCAAGTAGAATAAATCCAAAGAAACTCACACTGAAAGAAATTTTTTAAATGAAGCAAGACAGAAGCAACTTATCACGTACAAAGGAGCTTCAATAAGAATATGAATTTATGGTATCATAAGAGTAATATTATAACAAAATGGAGTTGGGAAAGCTATATAGGAATATCAGTTTTAATAAACCTCTCCACGCCCTAATCCTACCTACAAATACAACACACACACACACACACACATTCATACTCAGATTCCCTGCAAACACAGTAGTCATACCAAGTGGGGAGGTGGTGGTAACCAGAGACTGAACCCAGGGGCCCTTAACCCCTGAACCACATCACTAACATTTTTATGTTTTATTTTGAGACAGGGTCTTGCTAAATGTTTAGAACCTCACTAAATTATTGAAGCTGAGCTGGGCATGGTAGCGCATGCCTATAATCCCAGAAGTTTGGGAGGCTGAGGCAGGAGGATTGGGAGTTCAAAGCTGGTCGCAGCAACTTAGTGAGGCATTTAGCAACTCAGTGAGACCCTGTCTCTAAATAAACACAAAATAGGGCTGGGGATGTAGCCCAGTGGTTAAGTACCCCTAGATTCAATCCCCAGTACCAAACCAAAAAAACAAAAACAGTTACTGAGGCTGGCTTTTAATTTTCAATTCTTCTGCCTTGGCCTCCTGAGTCACTAGGATTACAAGCATGTGCCACCACACCCAGCCCAATTGATGTTTTTAAGCAGAGTGACCCACCAAAGTCATGGCTTTCTTAATTGGTAATTCTCTGCCCTTTGCCAATGAAAGTCAGTCAATCACTTTTAAAAACTTATGTTTCTAATGTGAATAAAAAAGGTTTGCAAAAAATAGGAGACATGTTCCCTACCTCTAAAATCTAAAAAAGGAAACAGGACCCATTCCATGAAAAATCAATAAAAACACAGAAATAAGTGCAAAGTAATGTAAGATATACTTCAATTAGCTCATGCTCTTTTACAAAAATAAATACCCATTCACTTACTATTAGAACACATTTCCATTACCTATTCTTGCAAAGTAAAGTAATTTGAAATTTAGTGACTTAAAAACCACAATTGTTTTACTTGTTTGTAATTTTAAAATGGGTAGAACTGGATGGAGGCAGCCTTTCCTTATTTTATATAGTAACTTACAGTGGCTCCAAAGGGCTGGAGAATCCAATTTCAAATTAACCATCTTCACATATCTGGCATTGGCACTATAGGCTGGGCGTTCAGTTTAGGCTTTTAGTCCAGACCTCCATGCTCTTCCATGTGATTAGATTGGGCTTTTCAGAACATGTTAGAGTGGGAAATAAAACTTCTAACATAAGTGCTGGTTTCCCCATGAAAGCAAAAGCAGAAACTACCAGATCTTCTTAAGGCAGATGCCCTGAACTGGCATAGCAACATTTCCAATGCATCCTAGTCACATCAACAAGATTCAAGATGAGGGAACTACTAACAGAGAAAATACTGGGAGAAGGGTTAGTTTGGGGTCACCAAAGTAAGTAAAACATGATAGTTTTCCCCAATGCAAAACTGAACAGTCGTCATCACTTCAAACCACACTGAGTTTTAAATTAATATTTGAAAACCTTGTTTAATCCCATTCAACATGTTATACCTAATTATTACTAATCATATTCTACTTCTTTGCCTCCTATTTTTACCATTTCTATCAGATGCATTCATAACCATCCCAAACTAGTAGTGACTGAAATCAATCAACTCACACCTTTCTGTGCAGTAATTTTTTTCCTCCAAGGAGGATAACTTCACTTTACATATCTTTAGGAATGTTTTCAGCTTCAAGAAATAGATTACCAGCTGGACAAGGTGACAGAGTCTGTAATCCCAGTGACTCGAGAGGCTGAGGCAGAGGATCACAAATTCAAGGCCAGCCTGAGCAATTTAGTATGACCCTGTCTCAAAATTAAAAAAAAAAAAAAAGTGTGGGTGGTGACAGAATGTGGTAGAGTGACCCTGGACTAAATCCCCCCAGTAAAACACACACACACACACACACACACAATAGAATACCTACACAACAGACTAAGAGTCTAGACAATAAAGATCTTTATCTTACAGAACAAAGTCTAGAAATACGGAAATAAGTGGTTACAAGTGTGGTTTAGCAGCTCAAGAACACCAAGTATGCAGGTGTTTTTTTTCTATTCAACTATGTGCAGTATGTCAGCTTTTCACCTTTCGTTTTGTACCATCATAGTCGCAATCTTCACATAATCCCACTTGAGGGAAAAAGAAACGGTGGAGCTTTGTCTTTTTTTTTTTTTTTTTTTTAATGTTTTTTTAGTTGTCAATTGATCTTTTACTTACTTACATGTGGTGTTGAGGATTGAACCCAGGGACTCCGACGTGCCAGGTAAGCACCCTACCACTGAGCCACACTCCAGTCCAGAGCTTTTGCTTTTTTTAAGTGGGAGTAAAATATTTCCTAGAAGCTGCCTTCCCTCCATTTCTGTCAAACTCCAGACTACCCTCAAATGTCATTGGATCTGCGATTACAATATTATCTAGTATATAAAAATTGAACATCATTAGGTGGGAAAAACCTATGCCAAGCACAGCCAAGATATCCAAAAGTTACTTGTTTATTTATTTATTTGATACTGGAGATCGAACCCAGGGGTGCTGTACCACTGAGCTACATCCCCAGCCGTTTTTAGTTTTTATTTTGAAACCTTAAAATAAAAGTTACTCGCAAAAGTTACTCAGGATCTCTAAGTTGCTGAGGCTGGCCTTGAACTTGAGATACTCTAGCCTCAGTCTCAATTACTGGACTTCAGGGCGTGCACCATCACGCCCAGACCAAAGGCTATTTTTAACCCAACAAATCAGAAGTCAATCACGGCTTTAAAAACTCCCCAGGTTTAAACGGTCATTAACAATGGCCACATACGATGGCTCTTAACTTCAACCCCCTTCAAGCCTCTGGAGGACACCTTCCGCGCGACCTTACTAAACGTGACCCTTTGCAGCTTTTGCCCACATTAAATATGGCCACAAAGCTCCATTCTTTTTTACTACCTGATCCGTGGTGACAACTCTGGTCCCACGCCCATTTCCAAAAGGGCCTCCTCCTCCGGGCTTGCGTTCTGAGTGCGCACGCGCGAAAGCAAGTCCTCTTCCGGGCAAAATGGCGATGGGCTTGATGTGCGGACGCAGGGAGCTTGTGCGCCTGCTACGGCCCCAGCGTCAGGTAAAGTTGTACCCAAACTGAGAGCCAGGATGCTGCCCTGCCCCCGCACCCTACGCCGGGGGCAGGAGCAGCCGCTGACCTGGTTACCAGGATCTGAGTGTCATGACCTCGGGTTACGTCTCGGTCTCGGAGGGCTCGGTGGCCCCGTTATGTTGTCGGTTTCCAGGGAGTACCTTACCCCGGGTCAAGTTCTCCGCAGCCTCGGGCCTGAACCCCGGAGTGGGTCTGCTGTAACTGAGGTCAGGAAACTCCGGCTTGAGCTCCACCCCATATGCCCCGGTTGCATGCCTTCGGGCCGGCAGTCTGCAAGAGCAGAGCAGCAATGTGCTCGCCTGGATGGCAAGCTGTCTGCTTCTTGAGGGGTGATCCTAGTGAATACCCTGTGGCCTCACGCTGGGCCTTCTGCTTCCAGCATAGATATTCCATTATCCTTTCATCTGATTAGTTCCACAGTATCGTAGGGTCCTCGCAGTGGCCGCGGAAACCGCTGAGAGAGGGGCTCCAGGTCCCAAGCCACTCGGGCTGCAGGCAGCCGCATTATGTCCTCCTCACAACCTCCAGCCACCGCTGCCTCAGTACCTCTGCCATTTCATTTGCAGAAGCCCAGGTAACGAGCCTTTGGTTCCTACTTCTTGGATAGTTTTGTTTTGTTTTGTTTGAGGGGCAAGAGGAATATGTAGCAGGGTTCTTTCCCACGTTTCACCCAGCTTCCCAAAATATTAGCATCTGCTTGGAATGGATTTTCAACTCAATGGGGAAATGATTGAAATACATCAATGAGAGATTTATGTTATATTCAAGGTACTCTTTGCCAGAGTCATGCTAAGCTAATGATGGTAATATGAAACATGACTCCAGGTTTGTGTATTAGGAAAACTATAATTTGCTAATAAATACATGATTTCATGGATGCTGTTTCTTTTTTCTTTCTTTTTTTTTTTTTAGAGAGAGAGAGAGAATAATGTTTATTTTTTTAGTTTTTGGCGGACACAATATCTTTATTTGTATGTGGTGCTGAGGATCGAACCCAGGCCGCATGCATGCCAGGCAAGCGCACTACCTACCGCTTGAGCCACATCCTTAGCCCCGATGCTGTTTCTTAAGAGGCGACCAAGTGGGGTTTTTGGTCATAAAAAGTGAATTGAAGGCTGGGGGTGTAGCTTAGTGGTAGAGCACTTTCCTGCATGCAGGAGACCCTGGGTTCAGTCCCCAGCCCTGAAAAGAAAAACAGTTCAGTTAAAAAAAAAAAAAAACTGATTTGATTTTAAAGATAAATTGTGTGATAGTTTATTTCAACATATGGGGGAAATTGTAATAGTGATAGATGATTGAAGTTCAGGAAACAGTGATTTTGAGAAGTGACTTCCCAGGATGAAAAGAAGTCATGAATTCTTACTTTAAATAATTTATCTTCCTGCCTAGTAGTAAAAAATATGTCCTTTTAAAGCATGAATTCTGTGGACATTGTAAGCCAACCTGGGAGAACAAGAAAAGGAGTCGAGAAAACAGAATCCAGTATTGATTATCATAGAGGACCTCACTTTCTGTGAGTCCTATTTAATGAATACACATATGGCTTCCTTTCACATAGGTCCAAGTACCTCCTGTTGTTCCTGCAACTCCTTCACCCACAGCAGTACCTGAGGTGGCTTCTGGAGGAACTACAGATACAATCCAAGCTGTTGCAGAACAGAGCTTCGCTGAACTGGGACTAGGGTCATACACCCCAGTGGGATTGATCCAGAACCTCCTGGAATTTATGCATGTTAACCTGGGCCTTCCTTGGTGGGGGGCCATTGCAGCATGTAAGAGAAATATATCCTGGACACGGGTAGAATGGGGACCTAGGGATAGAACCTTAAAGATGGCATTTCTGTGAGAGGATTAAGGAAATAGGTGCAGGAATATAAGAGTCAAACAGATAATTCAAGTGAATGGTACAGGTTCATGAAGCTTAGATGCACTCTATTTTTATTTCCTGAAGAGCATTATAAAGTGGCTTGATAATCTAAGATTAAAGAAGTATAGATATTTGAACATGAGCAGGGAGTTGAAGTAAGAGGGCCTTATTAACAGTGATGAAGCTACCCTGGTTTAAGAGAATAGTCTGATCATGTACTGAAACCCCCAAATTAGGAAGGTAACCACATTCCTCTTGTTAAGGTTTAAATTATGCTTTGAATTCTGTTTCTTTCTAACCTTGCTCCTTAAATTATCTCCTCTCTCCTGTGTCTTCAACTTACTTCTGAGTTCTGGACCCCTTGGGCATGAGTCACAGTATAGAAAAGGCTGAAATAAGAGAGACTTTTATCATTGAGGACTTAAAAAATCTTTAACCTAACTATAGAAATGCTTTAACTTCGTTTTAATTCTAGTTTGTGTTTTCCAGGTACGGTCCTTGCCCGCTGCCTCGTTTTTCCTCTCATCGTGAAGGGCCAGCGAGAGGCAGCCAAAATTCACAACCACTTGCCAGAGATCCAGAAGTTTTCCACTAGAATCAGAGAGGCCAAGTTGGCAGGAGACAATGCTGAGTGTGAGTCAGTTACAGTATGAATGTGAGAGGACCACATTTGCAGACATTCTCCTAGAGGAAAGAGACAACCTAAACCAGGAATTGCAACAATTGGGCAAATTCTAAAGATTTAGCTGTTTCTCAGGCCTAACACTTTCAGGGACTGTCCAAGGTTAATTAGAAATTTCATGGGCCAGGTATTCACCCTCACTGACATAACTGTTAGCCCAACCATTAATTGTGCCTCACCTCCCAGTTTACAGGGCCTCCTCGGAGATGACACTTTACCAGAAAAAGCACGATATTAAATTCTTTAAACCCCTCATTCTGCCTCTGACTCAGGTGAGCAAAAACATTTCCCTCCTTATTTCATCAAATGGCCTTCTCTGTATTTTCCATGCCCCAGACCTCCACAAAAGCAGTTGGTGGTGATATACATGGCTTTCAGTGATGGGGTACTGAAAATGTCCCCTCTTTTAAAGTTTGCTGACACTGCTTATCCTGTGTAATAGGCACCAGTCTTCATCTCCTTCTTCATTGCCTTGAGAGAGATGGCCAACCTTCCTGTGCCTAGTATGCAGACAGGTGGCCTCTGGTGGTTCCAGGATCTCACTGTATCTGATCCCATCTACATGTTACCGATAGTAGTCACTGCTACAATGTGGGGTGTCCTGGAGGTAAGCCCAAGTTAGCCAAGTACCAGGCCTGCAACATAAATTGGGAGTAGGGAGTAAAGTGGCTGGAAATTTCCCTGGAGAAATAGAGTCAGTGGGTAAGACCAGATTACTAAAACTGACATATGTTCAATACTCCTTTTCTCTGCTCTCTTGTTTTGTTTTTGGCAGCTAGGTGCTGACACAGGTGTGCAAAGTTCTGACCTTCAGTGGATGAGAAATGTTATCAGAGTGATGCCCCTGGCAGTCTTGCCCATAACCATCCACTTCCCCTCGGTAGGTAATGGCTTAGGAAATGACTCCAAGTCCTCCCATCTAGTCCAGCCACCAGGAATGCAGTCTCTGAGGACCTTCCCTTTATTCTCACCTAGGCAGTATTCATGTACTGGCTCTCCTCCAATATGTTTTCCCTGGGCCAAGTAGCCTGCCTCCGGATTCCAGCTGTACGCACTGTACTTAAAATACCCCAGCGTGTTGTGCATGACCCTGACAAATTACCTCCCCGGGAAGGCTTCATAAAGAGCTTCAAACAAGGTAAGGACATGAAGAGGGGAAAGTGGTCTAAAAAAATGAGTATGGGACTAACAGTTGAGGTCCTCCTTACCCAGGCTGGAAGAATGCTGAAATTGCACATCAGCTCCGTGAGCGTGAACGACGCATGCAGAACCACTTGGAGCTAGCAGCCAGGGGTAAATAATCCTTTCAGGCTAAATTCTGCTTTTCATTTCTTATTTTTCTCTGCTCATTGAGATTTATTTCTCTTCCTCTAGGTCCCTTACGGCAGACCTTTACCCACAACCCTCTACTACAGCATGAAAAGAATCACCCTCCCAAAACCCCCAGCAGCAGCAGCAGCAAACCAAAGTCAAAGCAGCCCTGGCGTGACACACTTGGCTGACTTGTGTTCCCTGCTCATTCTGTCAGGAACTCTGTCTCCTCAAAGAACCATCCTAAAGACAGACTTGATGCTTTGTCCTTGTATCAGGCCTAGGAACTGTAGGATGTGGATATGTTCATTTTTAAAAACTGATTCCACTACAAACTCTTATTCCTGCATATAAAAGTACAGGGGAGCCAAGCAATCTTCCTTTCCACAGGATTAGGAAACCTCTGTACTACATGCTGCTTCCTGATATTTTATTAAACAGAGAAATGGATTGTGTACTTCAGAGAAATGAATAGGTTGGGTCAAGATTGCTTTTGATAGCCCACGCTCTTGGGAAGTATCTGACCGTTTTTACCTGGCAGTAAGACCTTACACTTCTACCCTGTGTGTGTGTTCCAGCCACATTTGCATTGTGGTCATAGAGAAATGACCGATAAGATTGTATCTGAGAATTATAACCACATTTCTTGATAACCTATACAATTGCCATTTCCATCAAGAAATAGATTACTAGATTTTTAGTGAAAATTAAGAATGAAAGGTGATGTTTTTATCAGCTTCCAATAGCTGGCTTGAAAGGAAAGAAATTGTTTTGGGTCTGTCTATACTCTAGACAGAGTAACTTAGGCTAATGGGAGCTGTCCCAAAGACATTGTATAAAATGAAGCCATTCAAACTTTTAGGAACATAACCCTTTTATTATTGTTCAGCACCTGTGACAGTTTCATATCTCTCTAAAGGGAGACAAGGTTGGAGCATTGTTGGCCCTTTTAAAGGAAAAGAGAAGTAGGTAGTCACACCCAGAGGTGCTCCTGGAACAACGGTGCCACACTACAGTCTGCTTTACCATCCATTTACAAAGTCTGGAACAATATGTAGCAAAACAAATAAATTATTTTGTCATCTCTAAAATGCAAGTTCAAAGGTTGAAGCTGCCTAGACCAGACTCCTGAATGTCGCCTCCAAAGAAGTGAGCTGTACTTCTCAGCTCCCTTGGCTTCAGCCCCTGCTTTTCACATCTCAGGATTCCAGGTAGTATTTAGTTAGATTTAGGATCTTGTTGCTTGGGTATTTCTGCATCTTCCAAATCCATTTCTGCAGCAACTGACATACACAGGACCTGGAGGTACCATGTGGCAGATGCTACAAAGAGAAACAAATTTGAGTTAAAAGTGGGAAGAGGTCAATTGGGTGAAGTTCAAGTAGCACTGAATGGGACTAGGCCCAAAGAGGGTAATTCAGTTAAGGCATATGGCTAATAACAGGAGGGGGCTATGGCAAAGATGACTTGGGAGTCTAGATTTGCAAAAGAGGCCGAAACCTGGCTATCAGGAGCTGAGTGACCTAAGGACCCAAGGCTTACCCAAAGTTCTTCGGAGGCAAAGAGGTCGTTTGTCTTCTGGCACTCTGATAATAAGAAAGTAAAAGGGCAAGCCTGAGAGGGCAATGCCAATGCCGATGAGGGAGTTGATTGTATCACTGTAAAGTGGAACAGCCACCAGGAAGACGGTACAGAGGCAGAAGACAATGGGGAAGAAAATGCTGAGCTAGGGGCACAGAAGAAACTAGGAGTTAGCTCAAGATTCTTGACAACCAGTATAACCCCACTTCCCAAAAGACCAAAGCACTGAAGGGTTAGGGATAAAGCTCAGTAGTGGAACACTTGCCCAGCATGCCCAAGGCCCTGAGTTCAAGTCTCCAGCACTACACAGAGCAGTAAGCCTTCTTTCCATCATGTCAACACAAACTACCATCAAGTCCCAGGCAGAGGTTTCTGAGTGAACTGTCCTGTAAGAATTCTCTTTGCTGGGTGTGGTGGCACATTCCTATAATTCCAGCCACTTGAGAGGCTGCAGCAGGAGATAACGAGTTTGAGGCCAGCCTCAGCAACTTAGCAAGACCGTAAATCAAAAAAAAAAAAAAAAAATTAAACAGACTGGGGATATGGCTCAGTGGATAAGCATCCAGTTTAATCTCCAGTTTTAAAAAAAAAAAAAAAAATCTGGGCATGGTGGTGCACACAACTTGGAAGCCTGCAGCAGGTGGATCACAAGTTGGAGGCCAGCCTGGGAGATTTAGCAAGATCGTGTCTCAAAATACAAAAAGGACCAGAGATGATAAAGTGCCTCTGGGTTCAATCCCCAAAGAAGGAAAGAAAAATGCTTCAGATAGAGCAGAGGTGGGTTGGAGATAAGTTACCTTGAGGGGACGAGGTCGATCAGGCTCCTTCCAGCGTAGATAGAGCTGACCCACAATAGAAAGTCCCACAAAGAACCAGTAGCTGAAGCTGTAGTAGTTAATGAGCTGGAAGATGTCCTCTACACACAAGTAGATCAGTGCCATGATACCCTATAAGTACAAGCCCAAATTAGCTCCAAAGTGCTTTTTCACCCCTGTTGGCTCTCTTCTTACCCCTTTAAGACTCAAGTTTTGTCCTTCACTCCTTTTCCATCAGAAGTTAATAGCCTCAACTGGATTTTCAGTTGTTTCTTCAAACTTCTGCCAAGTTAACCCTCTTTAAACGGGCTGGGGTGGTGGCTCAGTGGCAGAGTGCTCACCTAGCGTGTGTGAGGCACTAGGTTCGATTCTCAGCACCGTGTATAAATTAAATAAAGGTCCACTGACATCTAAAAAAATTTTTTTAAATAAATACATAAATAAAACACAAAACAATCCCTCAATCATTTCATAAGGCCCTCTCCATAATGACCAGCCTTCATTTCCAGCTCTTCTACTACTCAACTCCATACTGATTTACTGCAGGACTTTCTGATGCTATTTCTCTTACAAAACCTATCTCTACTATTTGCAATGCTAACCTTCAAAATCTTTTAAAAACACTTCCTCCAAGTAGTCTTTTCAGTCACCCTCTATCCAGGGACCATTTCTTAAACACTACCTGTCATGGCAGTTAATCATTAAAATGTATTCCTTGTACTTTATGCCTTATCTAAGACTGGAGGTGGTTACCATTGCTAAGAGGAGTAAGATTCTCAGGAATCACTGCAGCAGTTGGTACAGCCTCGCCCATGATGGTAGTCCATCATTCCATCAATACTTTTTCTATCAGAGTCCCCTTTAAGACTTTCAGGAAGCTACAACACTCATATCTACTACTACTAAAACTTCCTGCACAATCTGGCTTTCAGTATTCTTGGATCACTTACGTTGAAAAGCAGAGAAGGCACTGGCGTGAACCGCTCAACATGAATCATGCAGATGGCATCAGGGAGATGGCCTTCTCTCGATCCCACAAAGAAAAGCCTATTTAGGTAAGTTAGAAGAGTGTGAAAAAACTGTGGGGCATGGGGGAACAACCTGGTTCACCTGCCACTGCCCTTCCTCTCTGCTATCCCTTTAAAAGGCTCAAATAATACAGAATAGAGTTCATTGTTGAGATTAATAAGAAGTTAAGGCTGCTGATGGGAAGAAGAAAGGTTGAGGAATGCAGGAGGTTAAAGTCCAAGTCCTGTAAGTTGTACAGTCTCCTGACCTAGCTCTTCATAATACGAACCCTCGTAGCAAAAGATGCCACTCTTACCGAGAAGCGGCCACAATGGAGGCATTGAGGCCACCAAAACAGGATAAGGCAACTGCCAGTGGGATTGTCCAGTTAAATATTCCAAAAATCTGGTCTGCAAAAGTCTAAGGGAAAGACATGGAAAATAGTCATTAGTAGGACGTAAAAGGAATGAAAGGCATCAATAGGCATGCTCCCAGGGATCCAACCCTTCTTCCACATTAAGGGTAACAGTTTCTTCTTACAAGCCCAGAATCCCAATGTACTCCTTTCAAAGCTCTCTCCTTTCCAGGACTGTGAAGAGCTGGGATATACCCCAAAACCCACAACAAACCCTCAACCTTCTGCTAGTAAAAATCTTTACCACGGCAACAGCATCACTGGCCAAGATGTCTCTCATATCTAGCACCGTGTAATAGGCCACATTGGTCAAGATGTAGATGATGGTGACAAGAGGCATGGAAATGCCAATGGAGAGGGGCAGATTCCTATAGTTAAACAAAAATAAAGTATACATCAGTCCCACAGGTTCATCCTTATCTCTTAATCCTAGACTTTACTGCCATACTCATCTTTCCAAAGATGGAGACTTCTGCTACATTTCCCCAGTGCCTCAGCATTTGAGGTTGCCTACAATACTGGTTAAAGCTGTAAACTTGTAAGAACAAATAAGCTGTGTGTAGTAGTACACACCTGTAATTCTGTCTACTCAGGAGACTGAGGCAGGAGGACCACAAGTTTGAGGTCAGCCTGGACAACTTCTTATCTCAAAAGAAGAAAATGTTTAAAAAGAGGCGAGGAGGTAGCTCCATGATAGAGCACTTGCCTCACATATATGAGGCTCGGGTTCAATCTACAGTACTGGAAGGGAGGGAGGGAGAGAGGGAGGGAGTAAGGAAGGAAGGGGGTTAGGGGAAAGGAACATCATACCAGGAGAAACAGCTGTGCAAAAAAAAAAAAAAAAAAAATCAGGGAAAGGAATTGACAAAGAACTAAGTCACAGCATGACAGCAGCACAGGAAGAGGGTAGTGATTTTATTTTTGCTTCCAAAGATGTTGGTGTCAGTATCCCTTCTCTAAGATTATCACCACAGGAAAGTTTAAATTAAGAAAAATATAAGAAGAAATGGAGGCAAATTGTGAAATCTAACATCTCCAAAGATTAAGATAGGCCTTCAGTAGGAAAAACAGAATGTATATCTGAGCAAGCAACCTGGGAAATAAATGATTTTTGATCTAAAAATATCCCCCAAGGACTCATGTGTTAGTGTTCAGAGGTGAAAAGACTGGATTAGGAGAGCTATAACCTCATCAGTGGATTAATCCATTTGATGCATTGATTATGTGAATGGACTACTAGGTGGTAATTATAGAGCAGTAAGGCATGGCTGGAGAAAGTAGGTCTCTGGGGGTGTACCTCTGGGGACTATATCTTGTCCTTGACTCCTCTTACACACACACACACACACACACACACACTGCTTCCCAATTGAGCAGCTTTCTTCTACCATGAAATTCTGGTTCACCTCAGGCCCACAGCAAAGGAGTTGGCCAACCATGGACTGAACCTCTGAAACTGAGCCCAAAATACATTTTTCCTCCTCTAAACTGCTTCTATTAGGTATTTTGATCACAGCAACAAAAAGCTGACACACACCTTCATCAGTTTGAGAATGTCAGGTGCCATCCTAATTGGTCCCCAAGAGAAGCACAAAGACCTGTCAAGATTCCTCTAGCCAAAGAAGCCACGATCTTTATAAACATCCTTGACAG